ACCAAATAAAAATTTAAACCAATTACAAAAAAGGAAGAATTTTTAAAAATACAAGGACAATGCAGCAAGGAAGTAGCTGAAAATATATTTGATCACAGGAAATCTTAATACAATCCCCATTGCAAAAAAACAAAAGCTCCTACCCTCTTACCCATGTAAAGAAAAATTCATTTACTGCTTTAGCAGCATAAAGTTTCACAATGTCATACTCAGAGAGAGGTCTAATATTCCTAATCTTGAATGCATAAAAGTCTGGAATCCAACAGGAGTTTTGTTTTGCTATCAGATATCTTCTAATATCACTCACATTACCACAGTTTCAAGTAGAGACTTCTACTCCAAATAACAAAAGTCATTAACTGAAGCAAATAATTAAAACACCGCAGCTAAGTTATTTAATGTAGGTCATTGAAATGAAATTGTGTTTTATCTAACTGTATGGCACACACTCATTAAAAAATATTCTCAACAATACTTGAGAAGCAGTGTTTTACCAAAAGCTGCAGAGCATCGATAAAGAAGTTTCTGACCAATAGTGTAAAAACAATGCCCAACTTTCTCTTTCAGGAAATGTCCCTTAGATCTGTAAAAAGATTTCTTACCTAACGTAATTTCACTCAATTTCCAAAATAATCCGACAAGAAAAAGATTCCTGAAATCACCTGTTTCATTAGTTAGGAAGAACTTCAAAGCAGAAATGTTTCGTTTTACATTTTGAAAACAGTTGACAAAACACGAGTACTCAAATACATCTTTTCTCCTTACATCATGAGAGTAGCTGTTATTTGATGACAATTTTTTGATAAAAACCTCCCTTTGAACTTTTAAAAAAAGGTCACAGGATTTGACAGAAATACCCAGATGCCTTCAGAAAACAGGTCTCAGGCACACAGCTTTCATTCCTTATATACTTTTGAAATCATTATTACTGCATAGTCAAGCTCAATACTACACTGTTCCAAAAGAAAACACAATCCTAGGAGTGCAAGATTTAAAGTAGGCTGTCTTTAATATAATAAAATCAAACCCCATGACATAAACATGATGGACAGAAAAATTAGGCCGAGTTACAAGAAAGCATCCTTTTATTGGTCATGCTTTTTTGCACTTCAACCCAGTGAAATAATTTTCCAACTTCTCACCCAGACAGTGAATCTAGGCAGGAAGAGATGATGTGTAAGAGTCCTCAAACAAAACCTTATAATGTCTCTCCTTGTCTCCACAAAGGAACTGTATCTACAACCATGCCAGAACAGCTAGGACAGCAGTAATGACTTTTAAAACCTTCACTTATTTATAAGGAGGACTTGTGAACAAAAGTGAAATTTTTCAGTCATTGAGCACTAAGTTGAGCAAAACACTTATATTGAACAAAATAAAGCATCATGTTCTATTTTCACTATGATTATTAACTCTTATTTTCTTTAACTAGGGCTTTTGTGATCTCCCCAGGAATACATCTGAGAAAAGCACAGTGGCCTTAATCACTGAAGGTGAAGAGTTAATCTAGTATACAGTATCATAGAAATGCACCTAAAATGTTAGGTTTCTGATTTTATTCTGCTAAATATCAAAGCTTCACATATAATTTGTTGGAAAGGACAGAGATACAGTACTAGATAAATGACATGCAAGTGTATAAACACATAGAAAAAAGACAGGATAAAAAAAACCACTCCTTCTAAAAAATCTACTAAATTGTAGAGCTTCTGCATGACATAAAATATGTGGAGGTTCTGAATAGCTGATTGGATCATATATAACTGCAGAATTCAGCAAAGTTCAGTAAGATGCCATGCAGTGTATCTTACTAAATGAGTCCATTAAATACTAGTATGAAAACACATGTATCATGTTTCCAATAATAATTACAAAGTAACTGCTAGCAACTTCACATAGGCAGGATCAAAAGCATAGTGTATTAGGAAAGTCACATTTTTCTGTTTCTTTTCAAGTAAAGTTCTGCTACAAGTAATGCTGCTACAAAGCATAGCAATGAAGGCATGAACAGCCAGAATTATAATTTTATGCCAAAATATATGCCTGAAAAATCGTTTAGTTACAGATGCTATTAAAAAGATGCTTATCATGTAAATTGGAAAATCCAAAGAATATAAGCAAGTTGTGATGATTATTTTTTTTTTCCATTTTTTTTTTGCTCAGCTTATTCAGTTGTCAACTGCTGTGTGATAACTCATTCAACCTGCACCTTGGATTAGGTGAAGGTTTTCATAGTATTTGTATGCTGGGCTTTTACTTCTCTTGCTTGTCCAATGCGCATGAACATTAAAAAAAAAAAAAAAAGTGTTTTGACTCAAAGGCATTATACTTGACAACAGAAAGACCCATGAGTTTCTTTAAATTAAGCAACTCATCAATTAAATTAATCTAGACAGAATCTAAGTGCCAGCTGTGGCTACTTCAAATTAAAGTTGACTAACTAGTTCATAAAGGGCAGCTTTCCCTCTGATTCTCAGCTCCCACTGCTTCTAAAAACCATGGAGTGAAACTGACATAAGCTCAGTTTCCCAGGTATATAGCAAGTAATAATCACACTCTTTGCCTGATGTTTCTCTTACAAAATAACACCCAGGCAGTTGCGCATTAAACACTTCTCAAGGTATTATCATAGCTATTTATTCTGGCTTCCCTGAACCAGCAATCTCTTCAAGTCTCTGCTAATCAATATAACTGTGAACCTTCAAATAAACTCTTTTTGGAAAGTTTAAACACACATTGAATGTATGCAAAGGGCTAACTATATGCTTACATTCCCTAAATACATACTACACATCCATAGACTGAACACAGGATATAATGTGTCTTTTACATAGTGTATCTCAGTAGGCAACTCAATTTTTTACTCTGTTTCCTTTTAAAAGTCCATATAAAAACAGTGATAAAGACATCAACCTCCTAGCTGCTAAAAAACAATTAAGTCACACCACAACTCTGTTCAATGACTTGAGTCTGTGCTGTTCTTTCCTCAGGATATTAATCTTTCTAAAAGCATTCTTGCTCTTGTTCACTGTTACCATCTAATAGCAGTAATTACTTCTTGTTCTATGTTATCAGATGTCACAGGTATTAAATTACTCTTTTTTTGTCATTGGATTGAAGTATCTAAAAAAGACTTTCTGTGAGAAGCAATCATTGACAGAAGGAAGCATGTGAGCTCAGGCTTATACAGCTACATTTGCAAAGACAGATGCAGCAGATGTGCCCACAAACATAAATAGTCATTAGGAAGGTCGGAATCTGAAAAGCCAACTACACATTCATTCTATATAAGGCATATAGACTCCTGCCTAAAACACAGTGGCATAGAAGGTACGTTCACGGGTCAACCTTGTTTCACAACGCTATGTAAATGATATATTTAATAACTGGAGGTAACTGGATTATCAGTCTTTAGTAGATTGGCTTGCGTTCTTGTTATATAAGGAACTATGATACCATATTTATATATATCATATCATGACTGGAAGATAAAATGGGCTCCTAAGGACAATCCAGAAAGTGTAGCAGAAAATAAACATTAGGATTTTTATTATATATACACATTCACAATATATCTTCATCAATTGAAATTTAATCACCTTTTTACAATTTAGAGAAAAAAGCCATTTTTAGGGTAGTTAAGCCATGTATCATCAATACCATGAAGCTAACCTATCAGTTATAATAGCTCCTATAAAATACCAGAATGAAATTGCAATAAGCCTAGAAAATGGGCTACAAATCCCAGATATGCTCAGGCAAGCACTGAACCAAAAATAAAAATAGGTAGATAGGAAACCAAGAACTGGATAGCATTTATCTAATTCATGACCACTAACACCAGAGATCACAGGCCAAGGTTTTAAAGCATCTTATTCAGCTCCAAGTTGCAATTATTGGACAGGGACTTCAATTATAAAAACCTTCCCTCTTCAAAATGAGTTAAATTTTTAACAGTCCCTTTCTATTCTCTCCACATATAATACCTCTTACATTTCTCAGAAGCATATTACTTTGTTCAGGCAAATTAAAATTTGAAAATATTCAATGCTGTTAAATAATAAAGAACATCAATGTTGCAGTATTTACTATAATGGGATATGTTTATCACATACTGATAGTCTCCCACGTTCTCTTCTTTTCTAAACACTGTTCTGTTAAGAAAGGAAGAGACTGCACTATGACAAATAAATTCTAAAATTTTTAATTTAAAAGGTCAAGTCTTTTCCTCATGCCCTCTTCCAAGGAGAAAATTCTTAAAAATTCATCAGTCTTAATTTTTTAAAAAGCTACGGGAAGATCCAATGATTTGATTGTACAAAAAAGGACAGTTGGATTTTTTCCTTCTTTTATAAATGTTGCTCCTAGAGCTGAACACACCAAAAAACCCCACAAAATCTCTCATTTGTAGTTACAGCCTCAGAATAAAATCGGTCCCAGAAATTAATGATGTCTGTGAGAGGTGCACTGCTAACTTGCATTAGATTTTTCTCTGTCCCCAGACCAGACAGAAGTCAACCAAACAAAAGAAAATAAGGACAGATTTTTCAAAGCAGACCTTTTGGGGAAAAAAATAAATATGCTTTCAGTATCAGAAAAATTGAAAACACTTGGGTTTGATTTTTATTTTAAGAGGAAAGAGAGACCTGCTTTCATATACATAAGAGATAAATAATGCCCCCATACACACACCTTTTCCTACACCCAGGTGAAAAAAGACTTGAGAAACAGTATCAGACTTTTTCTGCCATTCAAGTATACAGAAATACTCCATTATAACCAAAGTGCAACATGAAGAGACTACCTATTAAAAAAAGCAAATGCACAATATCAGGCTGCTGTGACATTGTAGTCTCACAGTTCCATTACCCTTCTGCAACATTAAGAAACAAGCACAAGAGGAACAGAGTTGTTTGTTTGTTGTTGGTTTTTTTTTAAAAAAAAACAAACAAAAAACCTAAAAACAGTGCACATTAGATTACAGTACTAAAAGCACCTACCAATGCATTCTGGTTTCCTGAAGCCTTTTTTATGTTTCTTGCAGGCACTCCATGAAGATGACTAAGTCTACTCTGGAAACCTAAAAAAAAAAAAAAGGGACAAATTGATCTAAGAGTACTTCCTATACCATAAAACTGAAAAAATTTACCACTACATACCAATCTATTAATCTGATGTCGTTTAAAAATATCTTAGTACTGCCAAACATTGTGGTGGAAGCAAAGAGCACAGAATGGGAACAGTGAGAGAAATGCTATGTCGTCATGAAAATCAACAAGTCTGTAGATATTCTTACAGACATCCTGACTCTATGCACAGTTGGCTGCATAAGCAGTGCATACTGAATTACAATAGGAAAGTGATTTTTGCACCGCTTATAATTCATTAGTATTAGAAAATGTCAAATCTGGTGAATATGCAGAGATTAAGCCCTCAGAAACAATTCTAAGCATCTGGAAAATAAGCCTCACAAAAGAATTCAATACATTCAGTGTGTAAAGGAGTTTGAAAGTGATTTGACCACTGCTCACATAAAAGATCTGCAAATGAATGTGAAAGGAGATCCTCCGTGGCAGAGGAAAGGTACAACAGAATTCTTTGGCAGCAAGCTGAGTTCTGACAACTTCAGTCTTTAGACAAGAGTGGGTTACCAGCTGTAAATGAAATTTAACACCGGTACAACTTACCACTGGATATGCTGGATCCACAGTTGTCTAAAGTATTTTAAAGGAAAAGGAAAAAAAAAAAAGTTTTCTAAGATACAGTCTCAATTCTTGCTCTGAAGAAACCCTTCCCTCTTCTCTACAAGCAATATGGCCTGACCATACAGCAAAGCAAAGCAGATGGTCACTAGTCCTTCCAGACTTTGAATTAATACACTTCTATAGAATTCTAAACACTACCACAGAAGACAGGAACAAAATGGAATATAACGATTCACTTTAAATATAATTAAATATAATAACAACAGAATAAAAGATAATTCTCAAAGCAAAAATTGAGACAAAAAGAAGGGTAGGCTAACAAAATTAGTTCTACACTTTCTGACTTTTCTGACTTCTTAAAAATTATTTCTAATGATATCTTAAAAATGAAAATAGTTCAAGGGAACAAACTGGTAACTCCAAGATCTTGCCAACACTTACTTATTTTGGATAATCCACAGACGTCTTTCTACTGTACCCAAGTGATCTTACAGTTTGGATTTGCCTGATTGTTACTTACCTCTTCTTCCTGAACGGGACATAAGAGGGAAAGTACCAGTTAAGATACTTTGAAAGACTGGATCAGGCAGTTCTCTCTCCAGCTCTGCAGCATCTTCTTGTTCCCACCATGGAATGACTCCTGTAATTCCACATGCTCCACCAGATTCATTTTCATGAAACCAATCACTCTGCTCATCATCACCTGTATGAGGGCAGTATCCCCCCAAGTCCCCAAAAAAGGAGGAGCAGAGAAGATAAAAATCAAATGTTACCATCCATAAACACTCTGACAGGACAACTACTACTTTTGCTTTATAGCCATATAGCAATTACATGTATATAGCAGTTCTATTTGGAAAATGTTTCTCAATAGTATGACAAGAGTTGCTATCAACAAAACCACATAAAGCGTAATGTTTTAAAACCAATTTACAATAGCGAAAAACAATAGTAAACTAGTTAATCCTTTGGCAATAACTGCCAGGAAATCCATTTCAGTTACTGCACTTTACATATCAACAAAAACCAAGCCTTAATCTCCTGCAGGGAATTAAAAGGTATAAAACTGTGAAACTAGTTCTTTGCAGCTGATAATGGTATATAATTAGCTTAATTTCATGATTTGTATGGCTAGTAAAAGGGGAAAACAATCATGAACAGATGTGACTAAATGAAGTTAATCTGATTAAATTCATTTAGAAATAAGTTTTGAAAAAGTTGATTTTAAATGAAAACTGACAGTATCATGTGATTGAGAATTATACTGCATTATATCTCAAAGCTGGTCATTTTTACTGACAATATTTATAGATGTAGCATTTAAGTATCAGGATTTAAAGTCACAAGTAAGACAAGAATGAAAATCTGATCTTAAGCTTAGCTCATAAACACACTGGCAACTAAAAAGAAATTAATTGTTTTAAAATGTGGGGGTTTTTATACAAACCAGGCAGTTTACAGAAGATCAGAAAATATCTTCACAAAACATGGCAAGTTTCCTTGCTTACACCCAAAAACTAGATTTCAAATCAATTCTTGCTCTGAAGAAACCCTTCCCTCTTCTCTACAAGCAATATGGCCTGACCATACAGCAAAGCAAAGCAGATGGTCACTAGTCCTTCCAGACTTTGAATTAATACACTTCTATAGAATTCTAAACACTACCACAGAAGACAGGAACAAAATGGAATATAACGATTCACTTTAAATATAATTAAATATAATAACAACAGAATAAAAGATAATTCTCAAAGCAAAAATTGAGACAAAAAGAAGGGTAGGCTAACAAAATTAGTTCTACACTTTCTGACTTTTCTGACTTCTTAAAAATTATTTCTAATGATATCTTAAAAATGAAAATAGTTCAAGGGAACAAACTGGTAACTCCAAGATCTTGCCAACACTTACTTATTTTGGATAATCCACAGACGTGTTTCTACTGTACCCAAGTGATCTTACAGTTTGGATTTGCCTGATTGTTACTTACCTCTTCTTCCTGAACGGGACATAAGAGGGAAAGTACCAGTTAAGATACTTTGAAAGACTGGATCAGGCAGTTCTCTCTCCAGCTCTGCAGCATCTTCTTGTTCCCACCATGGAATGACTCCTGTAATTCCACATGCTCCACCAGATTCATTTTCATGAAACCAATCACTCTGCTCATCATCACCTGTATGAGGGCAGTATCCCCCCAAGTCCCCAAAAAAGGAGGAGCAGAGAAGATAAAAATCAAATGTTACCATCCATAAACACTCTGACAGGACAACTACTACTTTTGCTTTATAGCCATATAGCAATTACATGTATATAGCAGTTCTATTTGGAAAATGTTTCTCAATAGTATGACAAGAGTTGCTATCAACAAAACCACATAAAGCGTAATGTTTTAAAACCAATTTACAATAGCGAAAAACAATAGTAAACTAGTTAATCCTTTGGCAATAACTGCCAGGAAATCCATTTCAGTTACTGCACTTTACATATCAACAAAAACCAAGCCTTAATCTCCTGCAGGGAATTAAAAGGTATAAAACTGTGAAACTAGTTCTTTGCAGCTGATAATGGTATATAATTAGCTTAATTTCATGATTTGTATGGCTAGTAAAAGGGGAAAACAATCATGAACAGATGTGACTAAATGAAGTTAATCTGATTAAATTCATTTAGAAATAAGTTTTGAAAAAGTTGATTTTAAATGAAAACTGACAGTATCATGTGATTGAGAATTATACTGCATTATATCTCAAAGCTGGTCATTTTTACTGACAATATTTATAGATGTAGCATTTAAGTATCAGGATTTAAAGTCACAAGTAAGACAAGAATGAAAATCTGATCTTAAGCTTAGCTCATAAACACACTGGCAACTAAAAAGAAATTAATTGTTTTAAAATGTGGGGGTTTTTATACAAACCAGGCAGTTTACAGAAGATCAGAAAATATCTTCACAAAACATGGCAAGTTTCCTTGCTTACACCCAAAAACTAGATTTCAAAGGATATGTTTTTTATTTTAATTCTACTTCAAAGTATCCAAACCATGCCTCACTATTTCTGCATATAAATTATTTGGCATCTCAATTTTTAATGAGACAGGGCTAAGCAAGACATAAACAGAAGATTTATTAGACAGAATTTTCAAGAACAAAAAACATTCACGTAAAATCTTATTGCCACTGAACCTCAACAACAGGAAAATAAAAATAATGAAAACCCAAGCCAAGATTTGAGGATAAATAAAAGTTCAACCCACTTTCTTCATTTCATTTGTTGCTATGAAAAGAATACTTCAAGAGCAATTTCAAGTGAAAATGGTTGTAAACATTCCTCAGAAAAAATACTTCAAGAAAATATAGGATAATTAAGGCCCCTCACTGGTCACTTGTAGGTGAAATCTGATCCTTACATCTTTAATGATCACTACTAAAAACAAAATTAGCAGAGGCTAGAAAACAGGAACTTCTAGACAGAGGAAGGGGAAAACAGATGTGGAAAGAGATACATAGGTATAAGTAAGATTTAAACTTCTTTGCCTTCCTGGTGCCTCTTGACATTTATCCTCATTTTCATTATTATTCTATGGCACTTCACAAAGGTGTTCACTAATAATTTTCTCCTGGTTTCATTACAGATATAGTTTCGTTGGAGAATGTCTAAGAGTACTGAACATCACTGAACACTGGTGGTGATAGAGGGAGAATCTCTATCCTTTACATTATATTTATCTGCAGTCAGAATTAAGTTTGAACCCCTTGTTTAGATTTTCCAAACTTCTATGTAGATAAACTTTGTCTGAATATTGTCATGAAAGCCTTGACTAATAAGAAATACTACCAAGAACTCAAAAGAAGTCTTGTTACTCATAATTCACCGATGAAAGTAGGTAGAGAATTCTGAATTTGGTTTCACAATCATCTGAAGGATAGAAGCCTGGAAGAGGTACGCAATGCAGTCTTGAAAGAGCTACAATTTAAGACTGGGTTGGTGGAGTGCAAGATAGGGCAAATAGTGACTATGGAAGGAAACTTATCTTTACTGTATGCCCAGCAACAGTTCTGAGTGGAAAAAATACATAATTACTTTTCTTATTTGAGCAGTCGACGTATTAGTATGTTAAGCAACTATCCACAAAGACATCTTGCATGTTATGCTATTATACACTTCCCTAAGCACTTACGTTGTTTACTGCCAAAGGCAGAATAAAGAACCTAAGATCTGAACCTCACAGGCTATTCCCACATGATAACATGCTTCAGGTATACTGTTTTTTTAGCTTGTCTGTGCACTTTAAACAACTGTGAATCCTTTGACTTTTTTCCATCATATTATAAACATGAGGCAAGCATAAACCTATTACTATTATTCTTATCCAGGTGAAAGAACCCACAAGCATTTTGTTTACCAGTTTCTCTACCTTGAAGGAATGTCATTTTCAAAAGGAGTCAGGGAAGAGGGCTGCACTTAATCAATTCCATACCTTATACATATAGGCAATATAAGAGACACCTCCCTGCCCAAGGCTGTGGTAACCAAATACTTGAATTTTATCCTATTTAATTTGCAGCTCTTAAAAAGGCAACACAGTATCCATAGCAAACATGAGCTTATGAGAACAGAAAGTCAAAGCAACATTTTTTTACTTCAAAGTATTTCAAAAATTCACTATCCTGTCCTTTCCTCTTAGGACTGCTGAATGTCTATTCAGCACAAGACTCCCAACAAATTACCATATTCTTCCAAGATACAGGAAAGTAGAACCATCCCTCGATCTCCAGAAACTTATCTCAGAGCCCATGCATTCTCCTAGCCACATATTTAAAATACAACACATTTGTTTGGGGATGATGTTAATGGTCCAATGAATTACTTCAAAGCAATTTACATTCAACTATAACTGTAGTGATCAGGACACAAAAAAAATAAAATAAATTTAAGTCTCGGAAATATCAGCCTAAATTCTAAAATGTCAAGGCACTTCAGTTTCATGCTTAATTTATATATTTTTGAGCTATCCTCTCCCCCCAGTTGCTGCTTTCTGAATTTTCACTTCTGTGTTTGAGTCTACGTACTTAACTAACTACCACTCCATGTTAAATTACTTGCCTGCCTGTTTAGGACATTTAGAAAATTATTTATGTGGGCTCCTCATAGTTTCTCTACAGCTACAGACCTCATTTGCATCACCACCAGTTTCACATTCAGAACAGCAGCATAGCTTCACCTCTTTTAGCTCTAAACAGGGCAGGATTACAACAGACTTTCCACTGCATGTAAATAGCTTCCCCCTCTTCTTAGTTTTCTTGCATCTCAAAAAAGGCCAGACTACCCTCCATAATCGTCACATGCAGTGTACCTGTGGTTGCCTATAACACAACATACTTGGAGAAGCTGCCATGAGTAGACCTCACCATCAGTGTTCTATAACCACCACTTGATACTGTGCTGCTCCACTATCCATCAATTTGCACACAGAGAGCAATAGCACATGGAGCGTAAAATTCCCTAGATGGTAGTCTCATTTCTAACACAGCTCTACCTCTTTCTAGGTAAAATAACCAACACTGCTAACAGCTGTAAATCATTTGGAGACACCAAAAGATTCACTATAACACATACAAGGAGTTTCAGGATAGCAAAGCTCAAGTTACTCATCCACAGAGGTACATTGCATCTTCCTCTTTGTGCTCTACAGAAATACCTTGGTAAAAGGGACACTATTCAGACACGATTCAATCTAAGCAGCTAGTTCTTCTGACTCAAATTTGAAAACTTCACATGAAGGCCTCCTCCTACTCCTCCACTCCAATGTAACCTCATACCAGGCACTCTTGAGTAGGACTGTACAGATGTGCTGTTGATAAATTGCACCATGGATATCACACAATGTCAGCTTTACATTAATCTCTACCACTGTGATCCACATCTTATACTTAGGAATTCAAATATTCAGGTCACATATAACAACTTCACACTATTTCTCTTTCACCTGCCAGGACTATAAACTAATTAGCCACAGCAGCTCAAAACTGGTGTGATTATACTTAGCATTGCACATTTTATTTCTTTTATAGATGGAGAATGACACACTGACACCTGTAGCTACCAAGATCCTAGACAAGGTTCAAATTAGTTTCTCACAAGAGAAGACAAAAGGATGGAATTCTCATATACTGAATCAGTAGTGGGTCATCTTCATAAAGGACACAGTAATGAATATATGTTTAACCATAAAATAATGAACAGCTATCTTTAAAAGCTTCACCACATCCACAGTGGAACTCTGACATTCCCTGACCTTCTCCAATTTTAACTGTTTAACACTTACACTAATATAATTTTCCTTCCTACTTGCTTAGATCTTAAAGGACATTTCAAGTGCTGCATGTTATGATTTAAAAGGTCTTAAGTCAAACTTTGAATTTCCCCAAGTGTACTTATGGTGCAGATGGACTAGGAATGATGAATAAAAGTTTTTATTAGCCATACCCACACTATAAAATTCCTAAAAGATTATACTTGCAATTTGACATATTTTCCCCAAACAGCAATATCAACTGGTGTTCAAATAATGCCACGATTTTGTTAACATTGTGTTGAAAGCTTAACTTACAAAGTGCCTTGAAGATGCAGGTTATACTACTACCTACGTCTATAATGGAGTTGCATTATATCTTAGATGAGACCTTTTACAAGAAGAGTTTTGAAGCAAAAGTTTTCTACACTGGGAATAACACTGCATTAAAGTTTTAAACTTAGCATTAAAGTTCTTAATAATTACAAAACTGCCATTTACAAAAATGCTATTAGGAACAAAGAAAAGAGTAGGAAGAAGTCACAAGAATTTCTGATACATAAACTTCAGCCACTGTTCAGTTCTTGCAATTATTTTGTTGGCAGGCTCTCCCACCTCCATACTTGAGGGTTTTATATTTGCAGAGGATTTGGGAGTTTTGTTAACTGTATTAAATCTCACCCAAAAGTTGACCAATTTACAAACCTCTGAAAAAAATAAAATGTATAGGAATTCACTTGAGGTTTGTTAATAGTTCAACAGCTACCTTCTTCACTGACAGTACTCGCACTGAGTATTTTCCATAATATTTAAGCTTTCACTGGTTAACTGTATATGGTATGCAATGCTTCACAGATGAAAAAAAAAACAACCTGCCACATGGGGATTGCGAAACACTGAGTACCAGTTACTTCAGCCAGAAGGTAGCATGACAGTGAAACAGAGCAGAGGAAGAGAGCTGCTTTTGCCCTCTTTACATGACCTAACATAAGCACCTGGATTACTTGGAAAAGGAGGACAAGCATGGCTAGCCTCAGATGAGGAATTCATAGTAACAAAAGAAGTCAGACAAAAAAGCTTTGAGACTGGAACAGAGGCAGGCTGGAAAGGTGAGGGTATACAGGGTATAAGGGTTTTTAAGAAATGTTAGATGGCCCACCACATATTAGAATTTGAACACAGGATTTTCAAGTCTCAGCAATTTTCTTTTATCAGAGCAACTGATGGCAATTAAAAAGATACCTAGCAATTAACCGACCACTACCCCTAATTACAGCACACCTGGTTTTCTTGAACCAAACTATGAAAGTTGAAACTCTTCTGAGAGTCTGTGCACAGAAGAATATAGTTACTGTGGGGGAATTTATTTCTATCTGTTTTTTGAAACAATTTTGGAAAATATTAAAAGCTGCAAAGTCAGGCAGTCGAAAGTGACAGAATTAAACACTCAAGACTGGCCAACTGCTTGAAGAAGTCGCTGCCTTAGATCACTTTCCTTATTAGAATGTCTATCCCATAGTATTAATGTGCTTTGAGAATTAATTAGGGTTTTTATAAAGGGTATTTGTCTGCAATAAATGAGATATTGTTCTTAATATTAGAAAAACAAAAATTAACAAATGTTGCCCTGGAAAACAGAATCATCTCCTCTTCTACTGAAACTTCTGAATGACAACAGACATGTCATCTAAACCAAGTATTTCACCAGGCAGCATGAATTAATCTCTGGTTCTCCACTTGACTTAGTAGAAACCTGAAGTCAGAAGTGCAGAAAATCTGAACTACAAATGAGGTCAAGATGATGATGTTCTGCACATGCATCCTGGAGGAGGGACACTGGGAAGACAGGAATCTAGAGTCTAGCTTTTAAAAATGAAGAATAAAATAAGCCAGTTCTTCCTTTCATACATCTTCACCCTGTCCTCTCCCAGATTTCTCTTACCTAGGCTTTTCGTTTGCTTTTATCAGATTTATTTTCTCCTTCCTTCATTCTTTTTAACTTTGTATGCATCCTAGCCCAGATATAAATTAATTTAGAGATAAAATAACTTCATCTTTGTAAGGTGAGCACAAAGATAAAAATTGCTATCATTTTCTTTGAGGGGGAAATCAGCATTATTATAAAATAATTTTGGTTTTACAGTAGGAAGTCTGATAGTACTTTCATGAAAAAGTCTTCATAAATCCAAAACTATAATGCAGATCTAAGAATGTCTGTGATCCAGTGCAAAGCTAATGGTCTTTTGATCATACCCATAAAATAACTAGTTCGAAGTAGAGATTTACAAAATAATGTTTGGGCGTGACAACATCCTTTTCAAGTTTAATCATTGCTGTTCTTTATACTTCAGAATATGATTCCAGGTTTAATATTTTCTGCTTGAAAATTACAATAAAACTCAATCAAGGTGCAAAAATCAAGCAGGCAAAAATAAAAATGTCAGCTCTACAGTAAAGAACCGACACTAAAACAAGTTATCACCACACCAGGGAAAGAACACTTATTCACCAGTCCTTCCCCTTTTCTCCTCCCAGAAAATGTAAGAAAAACAGAAAGGAATTGAAATGTTTTAAACCATATTATTCAAAGACTTCAATAATTTAGTTCAAGACTTAAGGACAAAAATAAATATATTGGCAATGTACTTCAGAAACATATGTAATTAAGAAATGTGGAAGCTCACATTACATACATAGAGGATAAAAGTTTTTAAAAGTGCAAGTCAAAAGAGAAAAACAAAATCTTTTTATGCATGTAATATTAAAATACTCCTCAACTGAAGATCTAAACTTTTAGAGAGAGCCTAAATTCTTCAAAAGAGCTTTGTGTTAGCACAACTAAATAGTGATACTCAGACTGGGAGGCACAGTTTATGTAGCACAAGTTACTGTTGAGCAAGGAAGGTAACACCCTTTGTTCTAAGTCTGAAAAATAATTTCCCCGTTGTAATGTTAAAATAGAAGACAAAAACTCCCAGAAGATTGTATTACACAGTAGAGAAAGAAAAACAACCACACACCCAAATAACAAACATTCCTTTAACCTAGATCACTACTGTAGAATGAGCCAGGACTTGTTTTCTTGCACACACACAAGCAGTCCGTGACAAACTGCGTAAGAAAATAATCTCCATTACCACTAACTTAGAATCGCTAAGAGAAAAGCAAGTCTTAATCACCTGAAAGGCTATTTTTGCCTCACTTTTGCATACTGTCAAAGACAGCAAGTTGTTAGCCCATGAGCTGGACACTAAGATGCTAGCATGATACAGATAAATGTGTCACACTTAAAGATGGCTATAAGGGTTAAAGCTGAAAAAAACCAAACCTTACCTTTCCATCCCCAACAGTTTTATCACATAAAAATACATGAGAACATTATGCACAGTAAAGGAAATTTCTGAATCCTCACTGCTTTTTAAATAAAAAATGTTGAGAGGAGCAACTTTAAACAGCACGCATCATCTAATCTTAAGTCTTCAAATGCTGAAAAAGTAGGTTTTTTTTAAACTATTTTTCAAACAAACTATTGAATGAAAAGGAACTATAAAATCCTGCCATATTAATTTGGAAGAAAGAAAAAAGCTACCTCAAAAATAGTTTGAGAAGCAGTACTATGATCAGAGTTCTGTCCCAAAATTGGAGGACCTGAAGAATTACAACTTAGTGCACATAACCTTTTGGAGATGCTCAGGTTGTAAGTTTACTGTATTACAAGAGACTGCTTCTCATGACAGCTTTGGACTAAGTCATAGTTTCAGGACATCCTTTGGTAACATTTAAAAAAACCCAGAAAGCAAGCTGTACTTCAACTCATTTAAATAGTAACAGTAACTGGAATAGAGTAATTAACCTATGAAATAGCTTGTAAAGCTTACAGAATTTCAACTGATGTGGTTTGAGGGGTGCAGAAGGGAAAGATTGTTTCAATACCTTGTCTTCCCTCATCATTGGTAAACAAACCAGCATCACTGCTGCTCAGACTGCTGGATTCACTGTAATAAGAGAAAGAAAGAAACAGATCAAAAGAACAATTGATCTTTCAGTTGTAAAATCTTAAGGAGATTAGGCTGTGCTCAAATTGAACTTAAGCCCAACAAAGATCGAAAGAAAATAGGATGATTTTTTTTTTTTTTTTTAATCAAACTGCAGATATCGTTCCATTAACTACAAAGCATATTATTTTTGGCACATAAAACCACAGGAATCTAATGGTACTCTGACAGTAAGCCAGATGTGACTGCAACGAGGTGCTGACACAATTGATGCATTTTATTATCTGCTTCCATCAAATGCTCACTGCTCCCTTTTTATGCTGTGCAATTCAGTTTGATCCTGGAACATCACGGCTCAATAAAATAGGAAAAGTCTCAGTCAAAAGCAGCCTAAGCCTTCTAGTTCCATTAACTACAAAGCATATTATTTTTGGCACATAAAACCACAGGAATCTAATGGTACTCTGACAGTAAGCCAGATGTGACTGCAACGAGGTGCTGACACAATTGATGCATTTTATTATCTGCTTCCATCAAATGCTCACTGCTCCCTTTTTATGCTGTGCAATTCAGTTTGATCCTGGAACATCACGGCTCAATAAAATAGGAAAAGTCTCAGTCAAAAGCAGCCTAAGCCTTCCTTCAACATGTGAAATGTCGGAGTCTGAAAATCGAATTACCTTTCTAAACATCATTTGCAAATACTCTGGAAAAGACACTGCTAAAGGTTTCACAACTTGGAGAAAAAGAAACATTTGTGCCAAAGGTAGCCAATTAAATAAAAATAAAGGTCACCCTGAAGAAAAGTATGATCAATGATTGTAACAGCAAGAAAAAAACCAAAACAAGGTACATTTTACTTTTCTATTATGTCTATCGTGGCCTTAAAATTAGAACATATGACATGCATATACTTCTCTCTAAATTAAAAAACATGAATAGGTAAAGTATTTTGTTCTTTCCTGTACACACATTGTTACAAACAACACCCAGGTGTCTCTAAATAGTAACACAGACTTGTCTTCTAATAACACAGATCACAATTTGGTGAGATTCACACCAAAGAATTTTTGCTAAACTATTTTTTACTTCTTTCCTGAATAGAGTGGCTCTGCTAAGGAATATGCTTACCAAAATTTAAACACATTTTACTTACAGTGGGATGTAGAATAATTAAAAAAAAATAAAATAAATCACTTCAGTTCCCTATGCAAATCCAAGTACAAGTTGCATACAAGCTATTTACAAGAACTTCAGATCTATTTACGTTTCTACATTTATTAATATTAAAACATCCATGCAGTCCTATACTTTAATTCAAATGGCTTAAATTAATTTTATTTATTTTCTAGTAATAAATTAGTTGTATTTTTGTTCCTAAATAACTGGTACAACAAGGAAAATTATTTGCTTTTAGATGTTAATCTCTCACAAAAATAAGCCTGAAATTTTAAGGCTTGCAATATGAATTAGTCTTTCTTTGGGAGGCATCCCAACAGGATTTCAAACAGAATATGGTATCAAGAACCACAGAGCAGTGATTAAAAAAAAAATAAAAAATCATTAGATGTATATATATGCAGCTGTGTTTGAAGATTAAGTTTTCTTAATCTTTGTTGCATCTTCTGCTTAGCCATATTCTTACTGTATAAGCAATAATTATCATGTCTTTTATACATAAGATAATCAGAACAGACTTAAACACTTGCACAATTGCCCTAAGCAGAAGCAAGATGACAGGCAAGTGATGAGAATGGAATCATCTTGCATAGGGGAGACCAACCCTTAAACTTCCCAATGTTGCAAACATTAGTAACTTCTTTCTGGAAAGCATCCCATCCTCACTTTAATTACAACATAGATGGTCCTACTGTCCTCACATTGTGCACACTTTTGCATCATACATATCTCAAAGAAAAAAATATTCTTTTCTCATAGATTCTTGCTGTCCATTTACTTTTAAAAATTAAAGTTTGGAAATCCTTTCAGTCCTAGCATGTCAGCCACTTTCCCCACCGAAATTTCCGATTCTGAGAACAGTCCCACCATTTTTCTGTTTTTTAAAAATAAGACATTTTAATTGTGCAATAATTCTTACCAAAGGACTAGCCACTTCATGAAAATACAACCACTTGAAATTTTCAAAGTTACATATAAAAATGTTTTATTTTAAAATAATCAAATCACATCACTGGCATATCCATGGCAGCCATTGTGTTCATTCTCATTGGGCCACAGTCAAATAGAACAGGGATTACAGCTGAGATAACTGCTACATGGCAGTCATTTCATGGAATAAATTAAAAACCTCTGGAATTAGTATATTAATATCCAAGTACATTAAAGTTATGACAATTTATTTCTATTTTTAATATAATTTTGTACTGTATATTGCTAATCCTTCTGCTTTGTAATGGGAATTCCTCTCCCAGCCAGACTTCCAGGAAAAAGAAAAAACCACCAGATTCATTTAGTCCTATAAAATAGGATTTTCAAGAAAAACTTGGAAGTAACAGCTCTGCTATCTAAAAAACTTCACAGCTTTATTTATGTATTTAAGAAATCAAAGAAGACTTTTTTTGTGTGTGTGTGATTAGTTATCATTACTAGCAAACTGTCCCATACCTTGGTTTCACAAGGACTTGTGGCCTTTGTTTACTAACCAACTCTGTCCCTGAGAACCAACCAGCCACTCTTTTCACACTGACTGGGAGGCTGGTGGATGAACATATCCAAGTTCCACTGCTGCTCTCTTTCAAAGGGGGCAATTTATTTTTCTCTCTATTTAAAATGCTAACAATTGTCAAAGCTTGCAGGAATTAACTATAATCCAGAATTACAAGCGTTGCCAGATTTGGCTGAAACTGGCCACTGAGTTAAGCTTTAATGATAAGAGACAATGAGCAAAGGACAGGCTCTGATCATGGAATTTATTTTTGGGATCATTTAGATGCTGACATTTGAAAAGCTTGAAGACTTCCAATACTACTTTAGAATCCTGCACTTAAAAAAAGGGTTATTGCCGTGTATGGTGTGTGAACACACACAGATAAAAGATTGCAAAAGTAGCGTCACTCAGGAATTTTAACGTGCACTTCAAATATATATGTTATGTTATTTTAAAGAAAATTCATGTATACATTGAAAACTTCTACTTTTTACTTTTGCCCTTCTGACAAGTGTTGAAACAGGCGTCTTATCCAAAATGCTTTACGAGCTCTCCATATCTTGTGCAAATTACAAATGGTGTTCCCTTTTAAAATCTCAGCTTTTACTTTTAAAACTTACTCTTAGAAACAGAGTCTATTGGTTGTTTTTGATTCTTCTGGCTAAATGATCTCAAACAAAGCAGTTAGTTAAACGAATTAAAATTATTCACATACAAAACATTCAGATACAGAACGTACCTGAGAGGCTTAAATGTGGTGGATTTTTTACCAAATTTTGAAATACATATTTTGTAATTCAGTGGTTCCCAAATCTTGGGGTACAGGTGACCACTGCATGAAATTTTGTAGAATGACAGGCCATCACTCAACCATGTGCATGAACAGAAAAAAATATTAAGATGAGAATGGTTTTTAAGGCCATTTTTTGGGGCCAAACATTTGAAGAACAATTTGAAAAATAACAGCATTTGATATAAGAAAATATTAAACATTTTGAAGAGGAAGATGAATTTTCAAACCAATAGTTTGTTTTGTGAAAAAAAATATTCAGACCAACCTGGAAGCATCACAGTTTTGGGAGACTACAAGAGGATTTTCATATTGATCTGTCTTCTGTCCACCCAAAAATTAGCTACAGAATTTTTGAGTTGCATAAGTGTTATCCTTTTAACACAACAAAATATTTTATAAATAAAAAAGGTGATGAGTAAATGGACATATTATAAACTACACAACGATTCCTATCTCCAAGGAAATTTTTAACCATCTGTCTTTAGCTGCCAAACTTAGGGGAAGAAATTCCCAGTAGGAAAGAGGAGGGAAGTTTCCTAAAGGCTTCCTTATAGCACACACTCCTGTCTTGCATGTCAGAGCGAGACATCTAAAGCTTCACTGGCTGCCCTGAAGTACTGCTTTTGCTCTAGTAATTGAGATGCTCAGAACAATCTTGAACTCAGGATTCATTGAGCTCTTTCAGCTGATTATTGTCTGCAGCTGTGGGACAAAATTAGTACATAATAAAAAGACTTAGAAGTTTTCTGACAATAACTGGAGTTAGCCATTTACCAATACTGCTGTTACTACAGTAATCAATTCATCTGCTCTGGTAAAAACCCCTTTTCCATCTACATCTCAATTCTACCTCTTCAGTAAGGAAGAAGTTTAACAGTTTATAGATAAAATGCCTACAACAAAACCCCAACAACCCAAAGACATTAGTGCTGTCAAGCAACTGACCAAAATTGTGTTTTAATACGAGTCTTTCTTGTTGACAGTTCTGCATTTAGAACCAGACACATGGGGTAAACATAATCAAGCTTACCAGGCCCTGCAGGTTAACATCCCCTGTGTGTGGTGGAAAAATGGCTTACACCTTACCGCCTTAGTGTGTTGTCAAAACAGTACTTTGGAAACAATTACCATTGTAGTACGACTGCTGTCTGGAATGGATGGATGAGGTGTACTGCCAAAGGGCCATCATTCCCCCATTTTTCTAATGGTAAGCTCAGGTGTTTCTGAACTGTAAATTGGTTTTTGCATTTCTTAAACGATGCATATCCTTGGCAACCTGCAGACTTTTTATGCCCACATCACATAAGAACACATTGTCTAAATGGTGGCTCTAAACACTGACATCTTTTCTGATTAATAGAAATAACAATCAAATCACTAATGTCTAGAAATTTAAAAAAAAATAATATTTTTTGTCCAAGACCTGTCACCAGTTGAAATAGCTAGAAAAAAACTTCATTATTTGTATATTCTGTCATTCTTAATGTTGAAAGGATTAGAATGTGTTTAAAGAAACTGTTTTCTTGGTTATTCTTTTGTTACATGACTATTATATTCTGAATTCCTTAACCTAAGCGACTAAAAAAATAGTGGACTCAAAAACAATATTAAGACTAACTTGCTAAAACAAATACTGATATTTAATTCCAGAGTTAAAATGCTAGGATAAAGAAAAATCCAAAGATTCCCAATACAAGTAACAGTAACAAAAGCAAACATCCAAAGTTTTTGTAAAAAGGAAGAGAAAGGATAACCTGTCACTCATGTTCTCATCTGAGCCCTTTTGCTCCTCATATTCCATTTTGTCCTTATTTGCTTGGTTCAGTTCTTCATTTTCTATAACTACTCCTTCATCCAAGATTTCTGGTCCTTGTCGAGATGCAGCTACTTTTCTTTTTTTCACTTTGCTCTTGGAGAACTCTTGGTGTTGGTATGATTTATTGTCATTGTCCATGTCTTGATCTCTGCTGTTATCCTGCTGTTGAGTTATTGTCAGTGCATTAGAGACTTCTGATGGCAGATCTATTGCCATCCGTTTTACCTTTCTTCTCCTGCGCAAAGTTCTGTTTCCCAAACTGTCAACAGTCAAATCTGGTTCATGCCATAGAGGTCTTTTGCCTCTCATGTTATTTAAGTTTGAGGAAGGCCTACGTTTAGCAACTAGCAACTGGTCATCAGAGTCACTGTGGTCTTTCTTATTAGCATGATTCTCCCTGTAGTCTTTGTTTGATTCTTCTAAACTGGAATCAGAACCTTCACTTAAGCAGTGACCAGTTTCCCAAGGATGATGGGTGGTAAATGAACGTCTTTTTCGTCCCCTCCTTTTCCTTGCCTGTCGCTTTAGAAGGCAAGACACACTTCGAGAATGATCTCCAGTATCAGCAAAACCCCCTCTGGCTTGCTCTGAACTTTCTTCCAATGCTGAGACTAGATCGTGAACCAGCTCCTCCATAGTCCTG